TGTTCCACTGAAGATTGGAGGCTCCCGCTGAGGAACACTTCCTGGACAGGTGGCCGGAAGAGATAGAAGCGTCTGCTGATCGGCGTCCAGCATAGCAGAAGGTAGCCGTCGAGAACGGATTTCCAGGATGGTAGCGGGAAGGTGTAAGAGACGGTACCCGGCACGGCTCCACCAATTATAAAGGAGATTTATTAAGCAGGAAGGTTGATGCTTGGAAGGCTTGGAAGGCGATGCACCAGCCGCAATTTCCGAGCTCGAGCCGCTGCTGCACACTGGATGCTGCTGCCTCTGCGCCGGAGTACTTCCTCTTCTTTACAATATATATATCTGCTTTAGGCCGCTGAAGTTCGGTAAGCAAAGTACTCCGCATTTAAAAAAGCAAGCCCTTTCAACACGCTTTGTTAAAAAAAGGCGATAAACCGCCGCAATTTCCTCGCAGAGTGCACAAATTGTAAGATAATTTTGAGGTACTTCGCCGTGAAATGTCTTCGCGATGATATTTCCGGTCTATTCGTACAGTTGACAGCGCTACAGGGCTGAATTTTATTAAGAAGAGAAAGGACCTGAGCGCCGGCATCAGGCGACTGTTCACAGCGGTGGGGCCCGGGACACCAATGGTGGCTTCCGGTGGCTTACACCACGCACTTTCGATGCACCATCCAGCTCCCTTAGTAGAGATTAGTGTTTAGTAATGGAACATGCTCGCGCGAGCACGTTCCTTTTTTGCCGAGGGAAGAGATTTTTGCAGGGAGTCAAGCATTGAACTGAATGACTCTGGTTGTTTAGATTGGGTTTCGTGGTTGGTGAGATTCTGCACAATTGAAGTTGCCAGTCTACTTAAACACAGTGTGGTGTATTGGTTGTGGTGAGTTCCACCATGTCAGCTAATTCGGATACATAGATATCGGAGGTTAGGGTGGTGAGTGTAGAGAGTTGCTTATTTAGCTCCATGAGGTGGGAGGGAAAAGTGGATGTTGTGGTTTCTGAGGCCTGCGTCAGTGCGTGTATTTGTGCTAAGCCATCTGATACTCGCTGTTTCTTGCGTTGGTTGCGCTACAGCATTGCGAGCTCTAGGACGAAGGAGCGGCTCTCATTGCCCAAGGATAGTGACGGTGCGTCAGAAACAGGGCACACTTGTGCGGCACCTTTCCATGTAGCGCCGTATAAGAGTAGGGGAGGGGAGGGGTGTAAAAGATTTCATATTTGTGCGCCAAAGCGAAAGGTGGGAGAGACTGAATGGCTCAACGCAGGGCTGTGCAACGGAGAGAGGCAGCTTTGGCACACTTTCTTTGCTTCGCAAAACTGAAAGGGTAGGTGGAGTAGAGAAACGAATCACTATTTACTTGGCAATGGATGCACCAGGGTTGGAATCAAGTGTGAGCGGCAGCATCAGAAAGCAGAGGTGCTGTACAGCAGTGGCACTTGGCCGGAACGCCAGGCTGCGGGCATTGGTGAGCACGGTGTCCTATAGCCAGGCACCGGGTGCAAGTAAAGGGCTTAGGTTTGTGTGTGTGGCATCTGAAATAAATGCAAATAATAGCGCTGTCACATGAGTGGTACAAGGTCATTGAGCCGATTGTCTAATGACTCAACTGACGAGGACGAGCTGTCGTCAGGGCGGTTGCAACTGAGCACCCCGCATACCCGTTGAAACTTTGACGGTTGTTGAGTGACAGAAATAGAAACAGCGCAAACGGGCACTCTCGTTCCCAATGAGCTGGAATCCCCAATAAAGAAATACATGTTGCACCATTATGTTTTAAATTTGGCATGCGTGGCTGTTGTATATTATCTAAGAAATTTTTGTGCCGTTAGTAATATAGGAACAGCTCATCGATACTCTCGACAACAGCAACATGCTGGCTCAGCGTGTTCGTTATCAATCTCTGGGACGTGATCTAGGGCACGTTTCTTTTTTCGGTGTAGATACTGCATTTGTGCGTTTTGTGCGAAAAAGAAAAAAAAGGTGCGCCAGTTTTGGCGTGAGCAAGAAACAGCGTTCCTCGTCGACTTGTGTGAGGTCTGCCCAGGGTGCGCTACGCTCATTTAAAAAACGGTCTCACCAATCAGTGGCATGGTCAAATCAAACGAACGCTTTTGGCGAGAAAATGGCCACCTTTGTTTTCGCTGTGTCGAGTCACCGCAACCATAATCGGCACCTAAAGGTTTACGAGCAGCAGATCTTCTTCGATGGCATCGGCTTCTTCCTTCGCCGCTTCAATGCCAGCATCAATAGTTATGGTGCGACAACAGGACGACAATAAAAAGACAAGAAAAACTCTTTGTCGTCGTTCTGTTTTCTCGCTAAAACTATCGTCAAGTCATACAAACTAGCCCAAACTGCTACACTTCTAAGCAAGCATCAAGTTGCATGAATGCACCGATGTAAAAAAACCATTGCAACCTTCTCATCCCTGAAGTTGTTTCGTGGCAGGTCATGACGTCACAAGCTTCCAAAGCAAATCGCAGTGGCTTCCTGAACGTGTTAACACACGTACCTCTGCGCAAACAAAACCAAAAAATGGCAGCCACACCTGCTCATGAAGTAAGACGGTAAGTCGGGCCAGTTGGTTGGGATCCATCGTGAACTTTCTTACAGCGCAACACTAGAAAAAAAATACAGGACAGGGAAGGAGTAGAACAGACGGCAGCGCCGTCTTTTCTTTCTGTTCTACTCCTTCCCTGTCCTGTATTTTTTTTCTAGTGTTGCGCTGTAAGAAAGTTCACGATGGACACCTGCTCATGCACTGACATATTCAGTTTCACTACTTGACTACCTAAAAAAGAATTATACATCATTAGGTATGTATGGTCACCAAATTTAAATGTTTGTACAAAAATAACAGGTGCATGTACGCTTTTACTTGCAAATATACTGTTTCCTTTCCAAAAACAAGAAAACAAAAGTTAAACATTTGCAGTGCCACCATTGATTGGCGACTTGTTGGGTGCAAGCATAAAGCTCCTAAATTTCGCAAGTGGGGACTCTGGTGCTGCGGTCATTCAGCGGCCACGGTAATGATGAGTAGTACACGGATTTGCCTGGTATTCGTACTTGCGGTGAGCGTCTGTTTGCCGTACAGAATCTTACCCAGGACGAAACTTTCTGGAGATTTTTCGGTCTGGGGAATTTCGATGGTGGCGCCGTTACCGCCACTACGTCCAACGCCTTGTCACGTCGCAGCGGAGCATGGAGATAGGTAAAACTGCTGAATATCTTTTCTTCGACCGTGCAGCGGACCTTTTAAAACTATTGCTTCGCAGAACGGGAGGTGTTTTTCTCTCTGGCTTCATTCTCAAGTAGCGCCTTGCTAGAGCGAGTTTGGTCATTTGGCCATATTTTGAGTCTACGAGTCGTGCAGCTTTCGTGTGGCTGAAGTGGTACATGAACCAGTGCGCCGTATCAATCTCGTCAACATCGTGGTGACTGCGCTTGCTTGATCGACAGACGTCGACGACTGCAGAGTGCTTGCCTTGCCACAACAGGTAAACTGCATTATCTATTATTTGTAATTGCATTTGGCCCTGTTCGTCGCTATCCCATATGTATAGTCATAAATGCCTGTCCACATCAGACAGCATGATAATATAGAGTTATGCTGTTGGGATTCAAGGAACACTTTCCCAGAGGCTTCCCTTATCATAGTGCTGAATTTTCTCGCACCTGTAATAGCTTCCTGAAAAGTTGTGTAACCTGCACCACGTCATCCTCTCATTATGCTGATATGATGGAATGGCAGAATAAAGTTGTGCTTCGCGTTGCCCATTTCAGATTGAGAAAAAAACACTGGCGCAGCACACAAACATGGCGGTGAAGTCGAAGGTGTGAATGCCAGTGTTTTCACCGTGTGATTCTTTGCAGGGCGCAGGTTTGCTGGTGAAGCACAATCTGTGAATTCCAGTTTGGTCAATTTGTGCTTGTCTTCACCGTGTGCTTCTCCGCAGCGCGCGTGTGGCAGTGAAGCCAAACTTGTTCACGCATTGCATTGTTTGTTTTATATTCAGGTACAGAGATGAGCGTTGCAAGTTCAAATCAGCACGTAATTTACAATACGTTTGTCCAACGACCTAAACTTTTTTTTAATTATGGGGAAGCATTTGTCATAGACTTGCCACCGAAATCCTAAGCTCTCATATTATGGAAGAACGTATAATCAAACCTGCCTTCAATGCACTGCTATGGCAAGGAATGAACATGTTGGTTGTTTCTCACGCTAATACATATTGGGCAATACAAAGGCCATGGAATGAATTTGTAAGCAACTATTCAGTTGTGCTGACATCTCCAAAGCCCAGAAATGGATTATGCATTGTGGCCCCGCTGCAGACTAACACGTACACAAATTAAGACACACTAAAGCTACATTCGGCAGTATACTGAGACGAGCTCCCATGAAGCTTAGTGGTGCGAACATTGACACATATTATGCACGAGTGTCTTTCACGTCCCTGTAAGGTGAACTCAATACAGGTCAACACAATACCACGTCGGTCTTCGGAAATGTGTCTCTTTGAGAAGGCCTTGAAGAGCCTAGTGGTTGACTTGGAGCTGGCCCAGTAATCTGGTAGTCGGTGAAGCCGAAAGAGCCACCCCAACCTTAGTTCTGAAAAATACTTCAGCCAAATGAATATTCACTCTATTCTTGCTACAGCCAAACGTATGTGTGACGATCGATAGCAGATGATGCTCGGTGCGTGTCTCGCGCCATTGCACGAGAAAAACGAAATAGATCAGCGCCAAGCTCACGGGCACTCGAGAAACGTGAAATTAAAAAAGGGTCTGGTAGTCCTTTCCTGACCATGAAAGAGTGTGAACGTCTTTCTTTGGCCGCCTTGGAACCCAGTATATCCGACGGCCACAATGGCACGTCACAATTGGCACTCAACGGCTCGAGGTGAACTAAGAAGACGTTTACATCTTATATGTGAGACGTCGCTCTCTACGCGCTCCTTTGGCTCAACCACCGACGTTTGGACAGTGTTGGCTCCATAATGCCAAGATGGTGACGGCCCCGTGTTCTGTCGACGTGTTTGAGCAGCTGGATGACGCCATCCGGGTGGAAGCCTACCGGTCAGCTGTGTCCGAAGCCGATATACTAAGGACCGAAGTGGGTAAGCTCCGGAGCGAATTGGAGGAACTGAAACTGATGACTCTCAAGGACGATGGCGCCACCAAAGACGACGGCGCATAAAATCTCTTCTTTACTCGCAGATAAAAGCAAGTAACGACCTTCTGTGTACCTTACTTGCTCCACTAGTAGAGCGCGTCGAGCGTCTAGAGTTGAAATCGAATGCCGAATCAAGCACGAGTGCAGAAGAGAGCAGTGCGTCGATAAATCTCAAACGTGGCTGGAGAAAGCAACAAAGACAAGCCAGAAGCGATACTCCCGTGTGCATGTCTAACAGTGAAAACGCTCGTGACCGACTTTTAAGTTTTGCGGCGATAAACAATCTTCAAACACACCTATCGTTTGAGTTGCAATCGAGTGGAACATAGAAGGCCTTCAATTAGGAAGAGCCAAGAAATCGTCCACGTATCTGAATACTTTGACGACATGCGAGCCTTCTAACTTTTTCTGCAGTTTTTTGCCCATTTTTGCCAATAGAAGCTCACAGAGTAGAGGTGCTAAGCCTGAGCTGATTGAAACACCCTTTTTCTGAAAAAGGGCGTTTCAATCGGCTCATGCATAGCACCTCTACTAAGTGATCTTCTATTGGCAAAATGGGCAAAAACTGCAGAAAAAGTTAGAAGGCTCGCATGTCGTCAAAGTATTCAGATACGTGGATGATTTCTAGGTTCTTCTAAATTGTAATCCTTCAGCGGCGAGCTCCTTATCCTATCATGCGAAAGATCTAAACGTATGGTTGCACCAAGTTCACTATTGGTTTAGAACTTTCTGCGTTCCCGATGAGGTCGCCATACCATTCATTATTTCAAGGCTCACAGCTAAAGACTTTAGGTGAGTGTGTCACCGCACGAAGTTGGCTAGTATCAGTACTTGGGCTGACATGAAGGCAGCGTTCCACCGACGTTATAACATGGACTGCGATGTAACACCTAAGCAGCGAATGTTCGGCCCAACGCAACGCACAGGTGAGTCTTGTACAGACTTCCCATACCTAAAGCTCGACCTGATGGAACAGTGCAACTGTCCTGTACTTCTACAGAAAAAGTGCCGAGTTATCATGGCTATACTCTGTTGCCCAAGGCAAAAAAGCACTTTTTTGATAAAATTATTTTGCGGCTAGACGATATGATTAGCTCTTTTCTGTGCTTTAACTAGATCAGGAAACCGGAGGAAAGCATTCTAATTTCGGCTGCGGAAGAACGCTATCTGCCGAATTCTGTGTTATGGCAAAGCGTTCGCCTCGGAAGCCTATGAGCCATAAGAGTGCCCTGAGGAAATTCCTATGCGCCAAGTCACCAACGAATGCCTTCAGAGTTCGTAAACTGTGCTTGTATAGCTCCAGAAGTGACCATTTTGTCACGCAGTGTCATTCACCGCTAATTGCAGGATTTTGGACGTGGCAGGAAGATTTCGAGTCTTCCAGCTCACAACAGCTGGGAAATGAACAGCTCTGTGACGCTGATGCCCGCAAGCAGTCGCCAGTAATTGAGCAGGTGGCATGCGCCTCTGGAGCGGGTGCTTTTTCTGTTCCTGTTGCCATCAATTGACAAACAATTATCAGCATCTTGTATTCTTCAGCTGTAAATACTTGGTTGTGGCACCAATAGTTGACAAACTCGAATTAAGCACAAGGCCTTCGTCCCTACGTTTTGTAAGAGCAAGGGACCATCAGCTGGAAAATTTAGATGAAGTCAGTGCTGTGGTGACAGTGGACGACGAAACACTGCAGCATGACTTTGTTGTTGTTCTCCAGTTACCTTGAGGGAATACTGCTAGGCGATGACTTCATGCGGGCTCCAAGAGCCGTCATCGACTTGGGTTCCGAGAGCTTCCCGGTATCGGTCCCCCGAAGGCTGCGCAAGGTCTGACTCGTTAGAGAGCAACCACTGCCAGCCTTATTGAGAAAGTTAGTTTCTGTAGCCTGGCGTCACGTGTCCGAAGATGAAAATTATTTACTGGTCATCACCAGGACCAAGCTCTTGGACGACCGCTATTCAGTCATAGTGAAGCCCATGGTAACCACTGCATTGGAAAATACAATGAAGGCTTTGATCACGAACTGCTCTTCTCAAGTCGTCCTTCCTTCTTTATCAGATGACGATTGGCCTCATTGAAGAAGCAAGTAGAATTGAGTTTATGGAACTTTTTCGAATGACTGCCAACAGATCCTCCTAATTTCATGCCTTCCTTTCCCTGTGGACCTTGATGCGCCACCAACTCATACGATCGTCGATCCGCAGCACCGTTCATTCACAATAGATGTCAGCTTTAACATTGGAACAAGGTTATCTTCTAATGAGCTGCAGGTTGTGAAAGATTTGTTGGTGCAACATTCGGTTTGCTTTGCACAGTCAAGTACAGATGTACGCTCCTGCACAGTTGAGCCACATTGCATTCCAACTGGAAGCGCAAAGCCAACATCGCAACGTCTTCGCAGATTGTCACCAACACAGCGTGATCTCGTCAAAAGTATGATGAAGAACCTCATTATTGCCAATGTAGTGTCACCTTCTTGGAGTGATTGGGCGTCACCCCTTTTCCTTGTAGCAAAAAAAGACAGGACTACGCGCATGTTCGTTGATTATCGACGTCTCAACGCCATCACTGAGGACATTGTGTACCCTTTCCGAAGCATTGAAGATGCGCTGCAGGCACTTAACGGAAGCAAGTACTTTTGTGTTATGGACTTGGTGTCTGGATTTTATCAGATCGCCGTGCATTCAGATGACATACAGAAGACTGCTTTCGTGACACCGCGGAGTCTTTACGAATTCCTCCGGGTGCCATTTGGCCTTAAAGGTGCCCCATTCACAGGTCAGCTAGCCGTGGATACGATCAATGACGGTAATAAATTCAAGAATACCCTTGTGTATACAAATGACTGCGTACTCTACAGCCGGGCATTTGAACAACACGTTTCGCATCTTAAGAACATGTTTACAAAGTTCGAAATAGCAGCCGTGATGTTCAAGCCACAGGAGTGTTTCTTTTTGTACTACAATCAATCACCTTGGGCCCGTTGTCACGAAAGACGGTGTATCTCCTGACCCATCGAAAACAGCAGTGGTTCAGGTTTTCCGGCCTTCTCAAAATGTACAGGAACTACAACCATTCATCGGCCCCACAAGGTACTTCAGGAGGTTTATCCCAAATTACAGCGTTATCGCAGTGCCTCTTCAATCTTTCCTAAAGGAAAACGGCAATTTTTCTTGGGAAGAACATCAGCAAGTGGCTTTCGAGACATAAAAGCATGCGTTGTGCCAGCCACCTGTCCTTAAGGTATTCTCTGAAAAACCTAAATTTGGTGTCCAAGTACACACAGTTGCATTCTGGCTCGGCTTGAGAATTCTAATGCTCCAAAAATAGGAAGAGTGACGATATTGTCCAACGCTGTACTTGAGTCAATCTCTCACAGAACTTGAAGCTCTTGCAGTAAAATGGGCAATAGAAAAGCTACGGCCATACCTGATTCACCGAAAGTTTCAAGTTGTCAGCGACCACCATGCATTGTGCTGGGTCTTGTGCTACATGGAAGGAAACCAATGCCTTCTTCGTTGGTCACTGATTCTGCAGAAATTTGACTTTGATGCCATATATAAATCAGGAATTTTGCACAGCGCACCAGATTGTCTTTCCAGGGATCCCCCCCCCCCCATCGTTGATGGTGCTGAACCGATTCTAGCAGTATTATATCCATCACTGCGATTCTGTGACAACATGGGGGGAGGGGGAGCAGTGTCAGGATGCATTTGGCGCTTAAGTCCCAGATATGGTTAGAAGTTCGCTGGGATCAAAAAAGCAACTAAAAAGCGTGCAAAAGACGTTCATCACGCATAACGATGTGTTGCACAAAAGAGACAAAGGCCCAGTATGCAGTCGATTCCTCCTCTGCCTTGGTGCCCAACGAAAAGCTGAGACCCTTCATGAAATGCATGAACGACGACACGGTAGGCACATGGGCATCAGGCAAACATTCGATGCCCTTCACTCTAAGTATTACTGGATGAAGCCCTATGAAGATGTCAGACGGTACGTGCGTCACTTTGACCCTTGTGAAAGGTTGAAGATGTCGACATCGGTGTCTCACGGTCTATTTTAGCGAACAAAAGTCCACAGCCCATTTGACACAGTTGGAATGGATATATTAGGGTCATTCAAAGCTTCGAAATGTTAGAAGTACATCATTGTAGCCATTGATTAACTCACAAAGTTCATGGAGGCAAAACCACTTCGGAACACTAAGGCCGCAACCGTCCAGAAGTTTGTCGAACGACGAATCATCTTAAAGCACGGATGCCCAGCCACAATTATCACAGACCTCGGTACTCAAATGATGATGCGCTCTACTGAAGCATAACTCAAACATCGAGTTATCAGACATGCTACCACTACCGCGTATCACCCCCCAGCAAACGGCTTGTGCGAAAGAGCCAATAAGACAATCAAACAGATGATTTCCATGACTACCGCCGGGGGAAAAATTGGCCGATGTCCTCTCTTATACTGTCGTCTGTTACAACACCGGGTACCAAGACACGGTTCGCTAAACTCTCTTCTTCCTGGTCTACAGTAGGGATCTAGTGCTACCATTAGATGTTGTAAACAGCTGCCGAAAGCTTGAAGAGCAAAAAGAATCAAACTATTTCACGGCAGTTCGTCAACGACTACAAAAAGCCAGCAAGCTGGCAGCCATGCACATCTGACTGGCTCATCAAAAACAGAAGCGGCACTTTGACAAGCACCACAAGGACGCTGTGTTTGAAAGAGGACATCTGGTGCTCCTCAAGGCACCAACATCCGGTGTGAAAACTACGCCGTACACCAGACTTCACAAGATACTGAACAAACTATCTCCCGTGAACTACGAGATCGAACTCGTGGACAACATGGGAAGTGCCATTGTACATGCTGAAAATTCAGACCATATCAGAGCCCCATCACTCACATGGAGCAAGCCAATGCTTCGGACTAAGGTGTACATTGGTGCCATGCAGTGTAAGTAGTTGTTGGTGCTTGTATATGGTTTTGTGTGCCTGATGGGATGTGGGGCCAGTGAAGCTGCGTTTTTATCACAGCTGTTCCCCGCATTCCACAGCATACATTGTATGGTGTAACACTGTGGGGAAAAATAAACTTCAAACTTCTACCTTCAAAGTGAAGAGACAATGTTTTGTTGACTACTGTAAAAATCGTTTCAGATAGGACTGTTTAGGTTAGTTTAGTCATGTCTGTCAATTAGTTTAGTTTTGTCCAGGCAATTAACTGGGCGCCGTACTACCCCGCCGACCGGTGGGAACGGTGGGTGCATGAAAGAGAGCCCGGAAGTGCAGAATGGGATGTTCTTCTTCGAAAAGTCACGGACTGCCATTTTTGCGACCCGGCGTCACGGCAATTAACGGGCGCCCTACTACCCCGCTGACCGGCGGGAACGGCGGGCACATAAAAGAGAGCCGGTAAGTGCAGAATGGGGTGTTCTTCTTCGAATGTCGCCGCCGATGTTAGATCCTTTGTACCTACGGTGGCGTCTGCAGGTTCGTGGAAGGCCGCGATGTACCCCGAACAAGGTTTCGACTACGGGATGCACCGGCTGAGAGACAAACAGTCTGACCATTCCCACGGGAGAACTTCTGGTGGCCAAGCCGTATGACAGCACCCCAACAGGTTGTCACTCTCGCTAGTTGAGGGCCCTCTCCTAATTAAAAATGGTGGGGTCAATATATTTTTAGGGCGGAGTTTCCAACAATGAAATGCGCATGATTGGACCCATGTAGAGGTCTCTTGTTCCCAAGGAAGAGAGCGAGGGGACACGCGGGGGATTTAAGCGCAGGATTTTGCCCTGCTAGGCAGGCTAGTCGTTTACCAACATGGTTTATAAACAGATCAACAAGTATCTCTTCTAGAAATATTTAGTGTGGCTCTGTATCGGCTGGCCACCTAAACTTAGCCGTTCGTCTAGTTGTGACGCGATATTAACGTCTGCAACGTAGACATCGGGACTTCGCCTCGAGTTAGCTCAACCTGCCCGAGGTCACCTGCAAGCACTAGCCTCCCGGAGCCACAAGCGTTGCAACACCACTGACATCGCAGTCATGCCAGAACTTTCTTCGACTTCTCGCATCCGATTATCGGGGACGCAACGCTGCCGGTCATCACACGTATACCTTCACCTGTTTATATCTTCGAACTTTCTCTTCCGTAGTTCTATTGTTGTTAGTTTGTGTAGTTTGTAATAGTTCTCTTTCCTAAGCTGATTTAGTGGCTTTTATATGTATTTTAGTTGTATCAAGTGTTGATGTATTTTGTTAGTTGTATTGAAGTGTTACGACTTAGATGCGTTTATACGCCGGAAGAGCTGTGGACGAACGCCGACTTGACTTAAGAGGCTAAGACGACGTACCAGGATGTCTTCGACCTTCAGAACCGTTTGGAAGAAACGTGCCGCCTGGCACACGAGGAGTTGGAAAAACCCGGAGCCCGGTAAACGAAGCTGTACAATCGAAAGGCGAAGGAGCAGAGTTTCAACTCCGGAGACAAGGAACTGATTTTACTTCCCAGTAATTTTTTGTTAGTACTTGCTCCAAACTTGCTCTGAAATGACACTGAGAAAACGAGACTGATGAACTTCTACCGTGTGCTGCAATATCACTAGAGTAAAGTTTGTTTTGTTTTCTCACGTCTCTGATCTCTTGACTGTCTCTGGTTGTGAACGGAACGAACTAACTTGCTGTCATTCCCGTCGCCGACTTCGCGCTGGCGACGCTAGAGTGGCAGCTTGTAACAAAACTGGCGTCTGCCACGAGGACGTTCCCTACAAGAGTAAGACTGTGAGGGGTGAACGAGAATAATGCGGACAGCGTGGTGATAGAGCCGCACAGTTGAAACAGTTGCATCCTGCATATGATTGCGATGTTTTTAGAGTGGCATCGTAGTGACAGTTTGCAGTATGGAGTGTATAGATTTTGATAGGTGGATCGCGCACGGTAAGTAGTTAGGCCTCGAGGGTACCGAACTGAGACAATGGGTTAAGGAGCAGCAGGAACAGGCGCAGGCGTTAGCCAGAGAAGAGCGGGCACTGGCCCGGCAGGAAAAGGAAAAAGAAAGGGAGAGAGAGCACGAAGAAAAGGAGAGAGAGCGCGAAGAAAAGGAGAGAGAACGCGAAGAAAGGGAGAAAAACGAGAAGCGTCAAGGGAAGCGGCAAGGGAAGCCGGAGAACGGGAAGTGCGGTTCCTGCAATTAAAAATTCACCTCAGTGAGAGTAGCAGTGTGAGCCGATCAAGCAGTGAGCACGGCGATGCTCGGGAGGAGCCGAGTTTGAGAATACACACAAGTAGACTGCTCGTTACCTTTGACGAAGAAAGGGACGACTTAGATGCGTTTATTACGCCGGTTTTAGAGAATCGCCAGAGGGCAAAAGTGGCCTGAAAGCCAATGGGCGACGGCGCTTTCGACATGTCTTACAGGAGAGGCGCTAAGTGTTTATGGCAGGCTACTGCCTACAGATGCAGCGGACTACACGAAGGTTAAAACCGCCCTCTTGAAGCGCTTTCGCTTCACGGCGGATGGGTTCCGAGGCAAGTTTAATAAGGAGAGGCCAGTAGGGGATGAAACAGCAACACAGTACACGGCTCGCTTAAGACATTACTTCGATAGATGGGTTGAGTTGTGCAAAACTGAGACAGAATTCGAGTCCCTCCGTGCATTTTTGATTAGACAGAGGTTTTTTCATGAATGTGGTTCGAACCTGGCATTATATTTGAAAAAAAGGAGGGCGGAATCCATGGGAGACATGCTTGAGCTGGCAGAGCAGTTTTTGTAAGCTCAGGGTGGAGCAAGCCTAGCGAAAACAAAGAAAGATGGTCCCATAACGGACGAGAAGGGGAAATACGAGAAAGGAAGCAACATGCCACGTACCACAACCACGGTGCTATATTGGCAATCGTGGGAATCACGCGCCGGCACTTGTGTCGCAACAGACCTGCCGCTAATGTAGCCATCGTCTGCTTCAAGTGTGGGAAAAAAGGACACAGTGCAAACGACTGCCGGTCAGGAGCACATAACTCCAGGCGTGCTGCCTCTACGCACCAAGGCAAATGCGTGAGGATCCCATATTCGACGGGTATATCGAGCTTAGGAATGGCGAAAAATTCCCGTCGTCAACGCCGTAAGGAGACACCGCCGAAAAATCTGGCCGAGAACCTACCAGTGGCCACAGGGACCCTCCGAGGCAGAGACGTATCAGTGTTGCAGGATACGGGGTGCAACACAGTAATCGTGCGGAAGAAGTTGGTGAAGGAAGATGAGCTGACAGGTACGAGCAGACTCGTCTACTTGGTTGACGGAACAGTGAGGATGCTGCCCGGAGCACGGATTGAGATTGACACCCCCTACTTTACTGGCCATCCTGACAGCACTATGCCTGCAAGATCCACTGTATGACCTCATTCTGGGCAATATCGATGGCGTAAGACCTCCTAACGATCCCGGAAAGGAGACTGAAAAACCTGTCTTGACAAAGGAGTTAAAAGAAGAGCCTGCAGCAGCAGCTATCACCCGTTCCTGAGCACATGCACAGCCGGAAAAAATTGCCAAGTTTCGCACACCTGGGACCACGGCGTGATTGCCGGGAGATCACTAAGGCTGCCAGCAGAGCGGAGATGCGACACTCATACAGTGTTTTGAGAAGTTCGGCAGGAAGCAAACATGCCGAAATGAGAAGGGAAGCGTCGAGTATAAACAAGAACAGGGAGTGCTGTACCGACAGTGCCCAGAGGCCAACGGACGGCTTGTACGCCAGTTAGTCGTTCCGCACTGACATCGAGAAGTTGTGCTTAAAACAGCACACGATGGTATAATGGTAGGACACTTGGTCACGCAGAAAACCAAGGACCGGAGCTCGGAGGAGTTCTTTTGGCCAGGCATCACAGCTGACGTAAAAAGTTTCGTCGCCTCATGTGATCATTTGTCAGCGCACCATACCAAAGGGCCGTGTATCACATGTTCCGCTGGGGAGCGCACCCATAATCGACACCCCGTTCAAGCGAGTTGCGATCGATATAATGGCGCCGATTCACCCGCCCTCAAAGCATTGGAACCGATACATTTTGACTTTGATGGATTATTCCACCCGGTATCCAGACGCAGTGGCACTCCCGAGTATCGATACTGAGCGAGTGGCCGAAACCCTGGTCGATATGTTCTCCTTTTTCAGCGTCCCCCGCGAGGTACTGAGCGACCGTGGCACGAACTTCACATCGGACCTGATTGAAGGAATTAGCGCGGCTCCTTTCCGTGCGCCAGCTCCACACCACCACATATCACCCCATGGCGAATGGCTAGGCGGAAAAATTCAACGGCACGTTAAAATTATAGTTGAAGCGCATGTGCGCCGAAAAACCGAGAGATTGGGACCGCTACCTGGCACCTTTCCTTTTTGCCTATAGGGAGGTTCCGCAGGCGAGGATAGGGTTTTCACCCTTCGAGCTTCTCTATGGCCGCCTTGTGAGGGGACCCTTGGCGATACTGAAGGAGCTGTGGACGAACGCCGACTTGACTGAAGAAGCTAAGACGACGTACTAGCATGTCTTTGACCTTCGGAACCGTTTGGAGCAAACGTGTTACCTGGCACATGAGTAGTTGGAAAAATCCGGAGCAAGGTACACAAAGCTGTACAATCGAAAGGCGAAGGAGCGGAGTTTCAACCCCGGAGACAAGGTACTGATTTTACTTCCCACCGACACGAACAAGCTGCTGCTGTAATGGGAGGACCTTTTTGAAGTCCGAGAAAAGAAAGGTGAAGCTGACTACGTCGTAGACACGGCTGGCGGCAGAAAATTCTTCCACGTTAACTTACTTAAAACATACGAGGAGAGGGACAGCCCCTCCACCAAGGTGTGCAACGTGACATTTGGTGTTGTGGAATCAAGCGAGGACGAGAATATTCCAACCCCTGACAGGCTGAAAGTGGAAGGGGAAGAAGACGTGAAGCTCTCCAACAAACTGGACG